GTGAATGGACATGAAGTGCCGTGGCTTGGGAGCACGCCGGTTTGGGTGACCCCATAGCAAGCTGCTTACTATGGGGGCACTCGACAGGAGGGAGAAGCCAGGAGCGCCAGCGGGTGACCTGAGAAGAGGAGGATCCAGGCTAAACCACTGAACAGAGCAGGTAAGTATAGACATGTTTGTTATTTAAAAAAAAAACACTTTAAATTCTTGTATTCAAAACCTTTTACACTACAAATATGGAGGTTTCCATTGTTTACCTTTCCTTGTGAAAATGTTAGTAGCCTGGCTGTCATGGCTCGACCTCTCACTTCAATATTTTGAATCTTTCACTTGAAACAAGTATCCTGGATGACTTTTCTGGGAAAGTATAGAGGGCAAAAGGCCAGCATCAACAACAAGCATCAGGTATTGGGGGTAGTGTAGCCATCTGTGGTTCATCATGTGTGGCTCTGAAGTTTGACTTTGCCTGGGTTCACATATATGCGGTATGGGTATATCGCATGTGATTCGCACAGGAACCTCGCTGCATGCCTGTGCAAATCACATGCAGTTTGTGTGTGGTGTGATTGGAGCCATACATTTTGTATGTCTCTATTCGCACCACACCCGCACCAAAAAAACGTGCAGGACCCTATTTTGGGTCCGCACTAGAATCGGATCACATAGATATTCACACCTATGCGATCCGAATCTGCACATCACACCGCGTTTCGTGGAGCGCTTTTGGGGTGTTGTTAACTTAACATGCACACCATGCAGCAGTTCGCATGAACGGGGTTCGATTCAGATGCGGTGCAGAATTTGCACAGAAAACACTGCGAATTCTGCACCGCATCAGTGTGAACCAGGGCTTAAAGTAAAACTTTTTAGTTTTGATAGAGTGAAGAGGGATTAGAACACCTGTTAGATTTTTATTGTGGGCTGTGGCCCCGTTAAAGAGGTTCATCCTTGCTAGTTTTTATCAAATTCCCAAACACTGAGATGTTCCCAGAACACTAATCGAGGGGAAATCTTCCAATGGGGACACTAGTTCTGGTAACAGCCATGGACTCCCTTCCTTCACTTCCTGTTTTGGCTATGTGACAGGAAGTGAAGGAAAATCTCCTCAATGGGACCCAGATGGCAAAAAAACCCCCCAAAAAACCTAACATCCCTCCCATACTTAAAGTGGTTGTAAACTCTTACGTATTCCCAGTGAAGTGACTGGCCTCAGGTGATACAAAGAGATGAAAATCCTCCAATTTTTGATACAAAGAGATCAAAATCATCCTACTTATGTTGCAACTGTTTATCTACAGCCTTCTCTTCTCTACAGTCCAGAATTTATAAAGTTTGCCTGAGTTTTCAAAAAACAGGGGGCAGGGAGCGGTAATTACACACTGCAGAGCTCAGTAAAGAGAGCTCTGAGAGTTGATTGGAAGGGAAGGGACACCCCACTTTGCACAGCACACAGGACAAAAGCTGAAGCTGTCAATCACAGGCTGCGTGCTGGAGCTCTCTCGCTGCTGCCCTTTTTTCTCCTGGTGTCAGGAAAACTAGTTGGAAGTGATTTATGCTGATAAGAGGGGAAAAAAGTAGCAGACAGAAATGAAACTTAGTGCTCTCAACTGAGACAAGTACACACTATAGAGGGATATGCTTTGTTCATATTTCATGTCTGAGGTTTACAACCACTTTAACCCCCCCCCCCCCCCCAAAAAAAAAAAGTTTGTCTTTAGCTCTTTAAGTGCAAGAAAAAAAAAACAATCCTTGTCTGTCTTCTTCTTAATAGAAGAAAGCAGGCAGTAAAAGCAGCATTTAAAATGAAAAGTCCAGCACTTCAAGTGAAGCTATCTTGTCATTTGTTACCCCAAGCCTATACTGAGATACAATTAAATTACAAGCAAATTAAAGATTTATTTATTTTTGATTGCTAGCAACTGAAAGTGTTGACTTTTATTAGTGATGTGAAATGCTAAAATGATGCACTACGTTGTATATTTCTCCCAGGCCTGAAAAGGTTCTTCAATGGAGTCAAGTAACTCAGACAAGTATTGTGGTGCACCAAACACAAGAAACACTCCAGGACTGGCAATAGATCACCACTATTATTTTGTTAGGCCCCATTCACTATGATGTTGAGCATTTTTGCCATGTCAGGCATTTTTTGAGCTGATGATCAAGCATTTGTGTGCATTTTGTCATGCACTTGAAACTTTTTTTTTTAGCCAATGGAAAGTAGTTACTATGCAAGAAAACACATATTATACATTCCCTTTAAGAGCTTGCTCACACCAGTCGCTGCATTGCAACGCAGAGTGTGGTCTGGCTGAGATCAGCGCACTGTTTCCTGTTTTTTTTTTTTTTTAATTAAATTTATTGAAATGTCACACAGATATTTCATGAAGTTCAATTGCTGGCTGCGTACTGCTCTGCACTGAAAAAAAAAGACTGCACGCAGTACTCTTTTTTTCAGTGTGCACCACTACAACACAGTGGTGTGACCCAGGCAGATAGAAAGACAAGGCAGTTTGTTATGTCATGCAGTGGGACTGTGTTGGAATAGCCACCCAACACAGTCCCACCTCATGTGGTGTGAAGGAACCCTCAAGTCTATTGGGGCTCTGCCCTTAAAGAAGTTCATGCACTTTTTTGAGCAATGCGCTACAAGTGACACTATTCTCAGGTGTGAACAAGCACCATGGAATATAATTCAAATGCTAGTGTTGGGATTTGTTGGGATGTTCAATTTTTTGGGACAAATTTTGATCCATGTATGGCCATTCCTGCTTGACAGAAATTGATCTAACAATCAACTTCTGTCAAATGGGAATGTCAGAAAACCTTTGTTGATCAGCAGCTGCAGCTGCTGATCAGTGTAGCCTAACATCAGTGGAGTCCAGAATACAATGGCTTAGTGGGGAGGAATCCTCCCTGCTTCTGTGGATGGGGGAATCCTTATTTTTTTTTCAATCAGCCTGCTTGTTGATTAAAAAACAAAGGGAAACATCTATGGCCAACTTTCCTATGCAATAAAAACCATACATGCAATTCAGATTTAACGATTATGGTAGCTTAGTTAGTGGACAGTCAGTATCTTTAATAGTTACATAAATATTCTAAAGAAAAACATCAAGATCCAAACAATTTCTTACTAAGGTATATACAGGGTTTACTTACTGATCCCTACATCAAATATAAAACGATTGATATATCTAATATCTATATATAAATAAAAGATGATTTCCTAAAAGTAACCAAATTAGGATTCACATGCAATCAGCAAACGCCATGATCTCTCCTACTACTCAGTGCATTGAATGCAACATTACTCCTAATAGGGAAGATTTTGTTGAAAAGAGAAACTAAAGTGACTTTTGGAACAGAAAGACATTCTGGATTTATGTCTTCGTAATGTAGTTTGGAAGTTTCAGTCGCATTTCCTTTGTGTTACATTCATTTTCCTTATTTTTCTGCTGTAAAGAACTTCCCTCTTATGTAGGCCTTAGAAACTTGTAGGCCACAGGCACTGAGCTCACAACTACCTAGTAGAAAATCTGATTCCGACAGTGATGTAACATAGTGAGATCTCCTTACTGAACAGATTACAATGTAGCAAACAACAGACAACGCACGCTTCTGCAGCAAACTAATAACAATAATAATGATTTATTATTATTATTAAAGAGACACTAAACTCTGGTTAAAGAAACCCTATTCATGTACAGTATATATTCCTAACTCAAAAAGTACCTTCTATTGCTCTCAGCCTCCTCCAAATCTCCAGATTCCCCCTTTTTTGCTGTTGCTTTAATCTGACTTCTGGTTAGAGGGTGTCTATATTCGATCTCCGTGGTCCCACTGTAAGGCCCCTTTCACACAAATGGACCGATGGGGTCTACCTGTCTGTTTTTCAGCAGACCCCATCGGTCCATCCACAGACTTCTATGGACTGGTGGGTGTCCGCGGACAATAGCCCGCTGACACCCGATCCGATCCTGTACGCCAAAAACAGGCGGATGGGGATCAGTTCCCCATTTGTCCAGCTGATCAGATCAGATGACAATTGGGTGGAAACGGATAGGTGGTCCATTTCCATCTGACCGACCCATTGAAATCAGCGGGTAGTGTCTGTGTCCGCTCTGCAGAGACCTGTTATCTGCCTGCTCAGCAGGGATCAGCAGAGAGATCCCCCTCTGAGCAGGCAGCTCACGCTGACAGATCCACCCTGTCTTAAAGGGCCTATGTAGGAATGAAGCCATCCTCTTTTGCTCACTCTTGAAATGGTCGAGGGACTATGCGGTTTGTTGTGTGCATATAGCCATGCACCTGACCACAACTATCGTGTACTGCTTGTTTCAAACAAACAGAAAAGGGAAAGGGAGAGGTTTGGGAGCCCACAGAGGATGTAAAAAGGAGGCAGAAAATATAGATTACAGGGCCATTACATAGTGGATGTGTACAGATTATTTTTGGAGAAGGATATCATGTAGCGTCACTTTCTTGCCTAACAAGCTGCTACATACTGTATATCTGACACATTTTACTTTTTTTGAAAGTTTTCACAATTTGCAGAGAATGGCCGCTTTAATTATCCAATCATATGCCAGAACAAATTCTGATTTCTCTTTATTTGACACATGATTGGATGATTGGGTGTTGGAAATGTCTATAGCTCATGCACACAGTCAGATATGGTTCTGTAACATAAATATGTTGTATTTCACCACGGAGCCCCCCAAGTGATGCATACAGCTGCCCATAGAAGTCAATGGCTATACACGCATATCAGTACTTGCATGGACACGCATATGCGTATTAGCGTACGCAGGTAGTCTGTGTCCAGAGCTGTACGCCAGTGTGCAGGTGTGTATTTTTTGGGAATGTACTTGCCTATACATACATATAGCTGTGTAAAGCCATTGACTTCTAGACAGCTGTATGCAGTATGTGTGGGCTACCTGGTGGGATAATATGCTGAAATGTACATTATACAGCCAGGTACGGCTGTGTTCATGAGCCCTTACCGCAGGGCTTGAAATTTCCACTCACCTGCTCGCCAATGGCGAGTGGAAATTATGGTGGGGGTGAGTGTGTCCCCCAGGGCCGTCTTGCTGAGCAGGCTCGGAGCTCAGGCCAGATCTGTCATTGGCACTGGGAGCCGTCAGACTGCTCAATAGCTGAGAGCAGTGAAAGCAAAGCTTGTGTGCTGTGCTCTCTGCCTCCCCCCTAGAGTGCAGTACAGGGCTCTGTGAGTGAACAACGAAGTACAGCAACTTTTTATGGGGGGGGGTGTATGCGGGCGTGTGTGTATGTGTAGATGTGTGTGTGTTTGTGTGTGTCTGTGTATGCATGTACATGTGTCTGTGTGTATGTACATGTGTGTATCTGTACATGTGTCTGCGTGTATGTACATGTATATGTCTGTACATGTGTCTGTGTGTGTGTACATGTGTCTGTGTGTGTGCATGTACGTGTGTATGTACGTACATGTGTCTGTGTATGTATGTAAATGTGTCTGTGTGTGTATTTTCTGTATTTGTACATGTGTCTGTGTGTATGCGTGTCTATACGTGCCTGTGTGTGTATACATGTGTCTGTATGTGTGTACATGTGTGTTTCTGTGCGTGTGTACATGTTTCTGTGTGTGTATGTGTGTGTGTGAATGTTCATGTCTGTATGTGTGTACAGGTGTCTCTGTTTGTGTGTGTTTGTTGGTGGCGAGTAACTCTTAAGGCCTGGCTAGTAGCTCAGGACTTGAAATTTTAAGCCCTGCCTTACCGCATCCACTAAGCTGAACTGTCACTTTGTTCATTCTCTGCTCCTTTGGTCAATCAGCCCTATAAAGATGATAAAGGCCTCATGCACACAGAATGTTTTAATTGACACTTTTAGAGGTGTTTTACATTTTTTCTGCCTCGACATGTCCCTCAATGTTAGCCAATATGTCCACGCACACATGGGTATTTCTAGGCGATTAGGGGCAGAAAAAAAATGTCCAAGTGCTTAATGCGCCTAAGTGCGTTTGCAAACCGTGGTTTAGGCTTCATGCACACTAGCGTTTTTTTTAAGCTACTAGAAGCTGTTATTAGCATTTTTTTCTGCTTCTTGACGATACTCTTATCCTATGTGTTCATGCACACTACTTAAGTCTAGGTTCACACCTATGCAGGTTTGATGCGTTTCTGCATTGCATTTTGCTTTGCGTTTTTGATTCATTTTGCTGGGGTTCTTTTTCCTTTTTTGTTTGTTTTTGTTGTTTGTTGCTAGGCAGATTTTAAATGCAAAATGCATCAAAAACACGGAAAAAATGCAGCAAGAACACAATACATGTTTCTGCAGCGTTTCCACTGAATTCTATATAACCAAAAATGCAACGTTTTACTCTCATAAAAGTCCCTGATCCTTTCCAAAAAAACCACACTGGGTGAAAACACAGAGATGTGAACCTGTCCCATAGAAAATCATGTTAAATGGACTGTACTGCGTATCTGCAAAACGCTGCAGAAAACTCTTAGGTGTGAACTTGGGGTTAGGCTATTGCCATTTTTTTTTTGAGCTTCAGTGTCTAGGAGCATAGAAGTTTTTTGGAGCGTTTTTCCAGTAGGAAAAACGCTAAACGCTACTAAACATTCCAAACAGCTTTTTTCTACATGTACTGTAAAAACGCTAATAAAACGCTAACGCTACTAAAAAAAACGCTATTAACAGTGTTTTTTATCCAGCGTTTTTTTTAGCTTAAAAAAAAACCCCGCTAGTGAGCATGGAGCCTTAGGTGCGTTTTTAACGCTGCTTTTTTCTCCCCTGGAGCATAGGCACCCAGAGGAGGAAATAAAATGTCCTGTGTGCATAGGAGAGAAATGCTGTAAGCTGAAACTTGCTGCTCCAACTAAAATAACAACAAATAATAATAAACAATGTTACAAATGACAAGGTTTCCTATGTTTCTTTCACTATAACAAACACAACAGAAAACAAAACATAACTCCAAAGACATGCTGGTAGGTGACTTGGCTCCTGTCTAAATTGGCCCTTGTATGTATGAATGTGAGTTAGGGACCTTAGATTGTACGCCCTTGAGGGTTAGGGACTGATGTGAATGTACAATATATATCTAAAGCACGGCGTACATTGATGGCGCTATATAAATACCTGAAATAAATAAATAACATATGTAAAAGAAAACACAGGGTTTAGTTTATACAGATATGCTGGACTTAGTTTTGTGGATCCCCAGCCCACCCAAAGCCCAGGTAGTGAATGGGCCCCCACATTTGGATCTCCATAAGCCCCAGATACATACCAGACCACAGCAGGAGTTTATCATGAACTTCTTCCTGGGAGAGGGAGTCCTCAGCCAGGGCAGTGGAGGTGAAGGCATAGGGCAGAGTAGATCCCAGGCAGATGTTGAATTTGAGGGATTCACAAGTGGTGCTCTTCTTGCACCTATCCATGTAAAGGGATTCATTGAAGTGAATCTCTCCAGAGGCAGACATGAAGAAGCTGGTCAGCAGCATCCAGGAGATCCCCAGCCCCATGGAGGAGGACATGTTTAGGAGAAGGCAGAGGGAGGAGGATTTGGGCAGGAAGACTATCCTCCAGATGAACACAAAGCAGAAATGGCCCCAAAGTGCACACAGCTTTGTCTCAGTGGGATGGGGACAGTCTTCCTCCCTCCATCACAGTCCCTCCAAGGACTCACAATCCACAGGGAAGTCCTGCTGTGTTCCCCGAGCTCCAGGCATACAATGGCAGACAACTGGGGACTTTTCTCTCCCAGAAAACTTGCAGGAAAGGGATTTGTAGAGAGGAGTGGAAGAATGTAATGTGATCCAGGCTCTGGGATGGCAGACTCCCCTCCTCCTCCTTCCCTCCTCTCCCAGCCCCAATCTGGCTTCACACTTCGGAAAGTGTCCCCTTTCACTCCTCAGACACAACAGGCTCCGGGGGTCACCTCTCCCAGGACAGATGATGGCCCCCCAGCCCACCTCTAGGAGAAGCAGCGATCCCGCTGGCTGCCGATCCTTCAATTGTCTTGATGAAGGCGCCCTATGCAGTGGCTGAGGGGGAAGCGCTCCCCGGCACAAAGAAGGGGCATGTTCCCCCCTACAAGGCTGCCTGTCCTGGAATCCTACAAGTGGATCTCCTCGCTGAGTGATCTGATGAGCTGGGATCCTAATACTCGGTCGTCTTCTTAAAGGAGCCGATGGAATGTCTCTGCTGGAAGGAACAGGAGAAAAAAAAAAAAAAGTTTCCCATTTGCCCTCCCCAAAATGTGAGACAAGGAGAAGGGTGGTGATTGGCAGGACAATGTGCTGATCACAGCATCATCACTGCAGTCCTGGCTGGGGGAGTCCTGCTGGGACATCACATGGGGAAGAGTTTGGTCATCTGGAGTGCCAACTATTCACAACTCTTTATATAGTACAAAGCCTTTTCCAGGCTTGGGAAAGTGTGGAGGCTGCCATTGATGACTAGACATGTGCAAAACAAAAAAAATAGTTTTGTTTCAATGCGAAATCTACATTTCGTGTAGTTGGATTCGTTCAATTCGTTTTCAGGATTCGTTTCCATAATTCGAATTCAATTGGAAAACATTACGTCCAAATTCGAAAAGTTGTTCACATTCTAAATTGGTTCAACTGAATTCGAAATTGATTCAGCAAAATTTGAAAAGTCGTTAGAAATTAAAAAGATTTCAACCGAGTTTGCAAAAAATTTTACCGAATTTGAAAAGTTAAGCTGGCCATACACGTGTATATTTGAAAATAAAAAAATAAAGAAAAGTCAGCAACTACAAAACTGTAGCTGCTGACTTTTAAAACACAGACACTTACCTGTCCCCCAATCCCGCGGTGTCCTCCCTGAAGCCCATTTCACCAGCCACCCTGTGCTCCCGGCTCCGGCATTTTCAGTGTGGGCATCCGTCTGGGACAGCCTCACAATTGGGTACCCACTGCGCATGCGCGAGTAACGCTGTACTTTGTGAATGGTCCCGTAGTCTTCTGGGACCTGTCACATGTCCCAGAAGACTACAGGGAGGGAGGGGGGAAGGACAACTTCCGCTTCCAATCGCCTAGGCAGAGGAAGTGGGAGCGGTTACCTGTCAATTTCGGGTACCTGCTCCCCCGCTCCCCAAAGGTGCCAATCCTTAATGGGGGAGCAGGGGACTAGTCCTTAAAGTGGAACTTCCCCGTTTGGCTGGAGTTCCTCTTTAAATTGGTTTTCGGATATTTGTTCGATTTTGTTTTCAATTTCAAATTTGTTTTTGATTTTGTTTTCAAATTTGTTTTCAAATCGAATTTGTCTGAATTTTGTTTCGTTATTTTGGATTTGTTTAAATTCTTTTTTTGTCATTTGTAATTTCTGATACATCCGAGTCTTCGAATAATGAAAAAGTTCATCTGAAATTCTATTCGGAACGCACATGTCTATTTCTATTGGTGACCTCCTAAAAAATGCTAGTTACGTGCCTACCCCTGACCCTGGACCAAGCATGCATTTAGATAGATATAGCAACTAATGTGTCCATGCACATTAGGTCATTAAAGGCTCAACGTAAAGAGGCAGAAAACCCTTTCTGTTTTGCGTTTTTGAGAGCGGTTTTCTGGCAGAAAAAAAAACACTAGTATAAAAGCCACTCAAAGTTAGTGTTTTTTTTTCTGCCAGAACACTGGTGTTTTTTTTAAGCCAGTGTGTATGGACCCTACGGCTCCATTCACATCTGAGCGCAGCGTTTTTGTAAATTTTTTCCCCACTTTTTGTTGCATGTATTTATGCATGTTTGCAAACATTTGTGTGCGATTTGTTCAGACGTTTTCAGGCTTTTTGAGTTCTGGCATTTTTGTATTAGCCAAAGGAGAAAAATGTCATCTGTGACAAAAAAACGTGCAAAAGCGCATGAAAAAGCGTGATTTGCGCGTTTCCATGTATTTCTATGGCAATAAAAACGAGACAAAAATGCATTAATCTCTCTGAATGGAGCTACAAAAGTAGCTCCAAAACGTTTTTGAGCTTCAGGTGTTCTGCTTCAGGTGACTTGGAGTGGAGATGTGAGCCATCTCCATAGAGTAATATTGATTTTTTTTTCTCCCTGAGTGTCTTGAAGCTTTGCACGGTAAAACACTCAGATGTGAATGAGGCCCTAATGCATTTCACATTTTATTATTATTATTATTATTATTATTGTTATACAGTAGTTATAGCTGTACTGTTCCCATTATAGTGGGGGACAGTACATGAGACAATACAATACACGAGGCGTTTGAGGGCCCTGCTCTTTGGAGCTTACAATCTAGGAGGGAGGGGGTAGTGGTACAGGAGGAAGTGGCTGTGGGGGATGGAGTGGTAGGAGGAGTGGAGAAGATCGGCTGTTAGGTGAGGGCGGGGTAGGCTTCCCTGAAGAGATGGGTTTTCAGGGTGCGCCTAAAGGTGAGGAGGGTAGGTGACAGTCTGATGGATTGGGGTAGTGAGTTCCAGAGGATGGGGGAAGTCCTGGAGAAGTCCTGGAGTCAGGCATGGGAGGAGGAGACTAGGGAGCTAGAGAGTAGGAGGTCTTGTGAGGAGCAAAGAGTACGTGTTGGGTGGTATTTG